TATGGTAAATTGTGCTGCTATGAACATAGGGATGCATATATCCTTTCTGATTGGTGTTTCTGGTTTCTTGGGATATATTCCTAGAAGTGGGATCACTGGGTCAAATGAGAGTTCCATTTTTAACTTTTTGAGGAAACTCCATACTGTCTTCCATAGTGGCAAACTTAAGTTCTTGAATCCTTTACCCTGGATTTTCAACCTTGGCTTTTTATCAAAACTACCTATGAACTTTCTTTTTTTAAAAACTTTTTTTTCTTTTTCACAATATACAAAATAAATCTATTACCAGATTGTAGATACACAATAATTAGCCATTTACATGCAATAAACATTAATATTTCAAGAAAAAACATTTTAAATATAATATTACCAAAACTGCACTAACATAGTATAATATCACAAAAGTTGTAGGAAATATTAAAAATCTGCAAATGACAGGATTATTTCTATAATGTTCTAAAATATTTTTCCCCCCTCTGGCTCTATTTTTGTTCATCAGTTTATGTTATTCATTATATTCTGAAAATGAGTGAGACCATATTTATCTTTCTCCAACTGGCTTATTTCACTTAACCTAATGCTCTCCATGCCCATTCATGCTGTTGCAAATGGTAAGAGTTCCTTCTTTTTTTTTTTTTTTAAATATATTTTATTGATCTTTTACAGAGAAGAAGGGAGAGGGATAGAGAGTTAGAAACATCGATGAGAGAGAAACATCGATCAGCTGCCTCCTGCACACCCCCCAGTGGGGGTGTGCCCGCAACCAAGGTACATGCCCTTGACCGGAATTGAACCTGGGACCCTTCAGTCTGCAGGCCGACGCTCTATCCATTCATGCTGTTGCAAATGGTAAGAGTTCATTCTTTTTTATAGCAGCGTAGTATTCCATTGTGTAGATGTACCACAGTTTTTTAAATCCATTCATCTGCTGATGGGCACTTAGACTAAAACTACCTAAGAACTTTCAAAAGAGGTAGAAGCCAAGGTTCTGGCTCACACATATGATCACAGGTTATTTATTTATTTATTTATTTGTGTGTGTGTGTTTAAATCACCTGAGGATATGTTTATTAATTTTAAAGAGAAGGGAAGGGAGAGATAGAGATAGAAATAGAAATAGAGATAGAGGGGAGAGAGAGAGAGAGGAACATCGATGTGAGAGGGAAACATGGATGGCTTGCTTCCTGTAAACACTCTGACTAGGGATTGAACACCCGAAACCTAGGCATGTCTCCTGATTAGGAATCGAACCTGTACCTTTTTGGTGTATGGGATGACACCCCAACCGAGCCACTTGGCCAGGGCTGGTCCAGTTTTTTTGTAGGTATGGGTGTAGGGAATGGCAGTCAGGCACCACTGCTGCCAAGTCCTGCTGCAGTGGAAGGACAGAATTTTGCTGCATACACTACATACTTCCCCATAGTTGACAATTAATTACCTGGTAATATTTATTTTTAGAAATGGGCCATACAATCAGTTTTGAATCTAAATGTGTTATCATTCAACCCACATTTCTTGTTTCTCCATATTGTGTAAAAGAAGGTTGTGAAAGACTTGGTCAATTTTTTTTATTATACTCTTTTGTCTTTATCAAAGAATAGAGCAAACTTTCTGAAATGTTTGCCCTGGGAGAAAATTTCTAGCTACTAGGGATCACGTAAAGAGCTAAAAAATTCTCTACAAGTGAAAAGAGCTAAATCTTCCAGGGCAGTATTAGCTTAAAGTCCTAATATTTTAGTGAGAAGAGAGGCTTTCACTCTCTGAATGACAGACACTAAGCAAGTAATCGCATCGCTCTGCATAGGTATATTGATCTCTCAATTGGATAAGCCTATGAATATATATTTCCCTTGTCCACCTGTCTTCCAATCCAAATCTCTAATATAAGAAATAATCCATTTCCCCACAAGAAACCCTTAATACATATTCACTAGTGCCAAATGGCTTTTTTTTTTTTTTTGCAAACAGGCAGTGGACAGTAACAGATACCATGCCTGGTTGAATAAATACATCATTGCAAAATACAGAAACATCACTTATCTACAATGAATGTATCTGCACTTTTTCAGAGTTCTAAAACAGACATTTTTTTTTCTCACAAAAGAGAATGTTTCTATTTCCACAGCTCAGATGCTTTTCACTTTAACCCTGACATTAAAGCCACATTCAGCACTTTATCTTCTTTTGTGTGGACCTGTGTTCTAGTTTCTACTACAGTCACAGTTTTTGTTTGCAGGAAAAGAGAACTCTCATGGTGGTTGCTGCTTATAATTTCAGCCTTAATATTCTAAGCAGATTTTAGCTCTGCCGTTTGATTCACAACTTACATTTCCTATTTTTTTTTTTTTTTAAGAAATGAAAAAAGGGACTCTGCAGCATATTTTGTGTGTAAGACAGTAGCCATATGAACAGGGTTTCCAGACCCAATTCTATCATGGCTCCTCTCATACCAACAAACAGTTCTTGCTCAGACACCAGCTGGGTGTCCAAGAATTCAGCTTAATTCTGACCCTATCTACCCGGAGCATCAGATTCCTCAGGGTAAGGGGTGAGACCTACAACCTCCCCCCCACTTCCTGCTCCCCCCCCACACCCTGCCCACTCCTCCCCCAGAACACACACACTTTAAATGCCAACAGCAAGCCCAGGCTCTTATCTGTGCTTCTGACCAACTGACTATAGATTGGAGGTTCCAAAGACCATCCAATTTAGAATGCTAATCTCAAGTTGTTACTTATACTTCTGACTGACTGGCTATATATCAGAGATTCCCACAACCCCCTCCTTGGGCTTGATTAATTTGCTAGAATGGCTCACAGAACTCAGAGAAACATTTTACTGACTAGATTATCGGTTTATTAGAAAAGGATATGAAAGACTACAACCAGATGAAGAGACACCTAGGGCAAGGTCCTGAACAAAGGAGCTCCTGCCCCTGTGGAGCTTGGGGCCCCTACGAGGCGGCACTCGCATGGAAGTAGTCTAGTTCCCCAGCCTGAGAGTTGTCTGAAAAAGGAAAAGCTGTCTTCCTGGGTTTTTATGGAGGCGTCATTACACAGTCATGATTGACTGAGTCATAGACCGCTGGCACTTAATTTCCAGCTCCTTTCCCTTATCCCAAAATGGGGTAGATGGGACTCAAAGTTACCTCTAATCATTTGTTTGGTTCTCTTGGCAACCAGATCCAACCCCTGGTTTGGGTCCAAAAGTCACCTTATTAATATAACAAAAGATACCTTGATCACTCTCGACACTTAGGAAATTCCAAGGGTTTAGGGAGCTGTGGATGATAAACACCGAATATTGTATAAATCACAATAGGGCAGCATAGGAATGCAATTCCCCTATAATCTCTTTCTCTTATGAGAAAAAAGGCCCTTAGTTCATTATTTACTTTAAAGAAGTCAGTGGGAATTCAAGTCATTTTCTCTCCTGCTATCATTTGCTCAAAGACCTTTTGCAATGGGTCGTATGTAAGAAGAAATGCAGGAGCTGCTGTGGTGAGGTTTATTTCAAGAAACCATTAAATACAAGCTAAACCTGAATGGCAGCATCATTTGTGTATGGAGAAACAGGGTCTATAAATGCATCAATTCCTTCAACTTGACAGAAAAGAAAAAGGCTAATAATAAGTGAAAAAGGCCCTACACAGTTGCTTAAAGGCTACTTCTTTGGCCTCACCTCTTACCACTGCCCCCTCCATCACTGTCCTCCAGTCACAGTGACCTCTTTCCTGGTCCTTGCTTGCCAAGCACATTCCCTTCTGGGGGTCTTTGCCTCTTTGCCAGCCCTTCTGCCTGGAACGCTTTTCCAAGATAATCACACGACTGGCCCATTCTCATGCCTCAGATCTCTGCTGAAATGTCAGTTACTCTGGGAGGTCTTTCCTGACCACCCTCCCTGAAATAGCACACAGACTGCTCACTTTCTACTCCTTCACTTTGCAGTATTATTTTTTTTAGTGGCAATTATAGACTTGCACATTATACATTTAAGGCATTTTTGCCACTATATCAGAATACTAGCTTCAGCACGCAAGGAATATGCAGTTAATTGGTATTCACATAGCACCCCCTGGGGAACCTAGTAGGTGCTCTGTAAATATTTGTTGAATGGATGAAGGAAGCTCTTTGGGATGGTGGAAGTTGTTTCTACTCAATCGCCCAGGCCTCGTGGTCAGTCTGCAGGCAGCTGGGAGCTGCACCCCACCCGCACTGCTACCCAGCAGAGGGACGAACTGGAGTCAGGCCCTCGGGATTGCACTGGCGAGAAACGGCACGGCTGAGCACGCTGCGCCAACCCCCGGCGCCGCTTCTCCTCGGTCCAGAGGCCAAGACCGGGGAAGCGCAGGTCTGCAGCAACCGGAACGTGGAAGCAGAGGCAGCAAGAAGACAACAGTGCGCGGGCGGGGAAAGTCTGCGCGGTGCCGGGCTGCGCGCAGGCGGCGCCTTCCCGGTCCGGCTGACTCATTCCCAGCCGCCTCCACTGCGGTGGCGGCCACACACACGCCCATCTTGGGGAGGGCCGTCCCGCGAGCCCCCACCGCCAGCTCAGCTTCTCCGCCGCTCGGGCCCAGGGGCCTTCCCGGGAATCTCCTCCGCGCGCGCCACGGAGGCCACGGGAGCCACGGTCCCGCGAGCATCGCTCCTGTCGGCCGGGCGGCGCGCGCGCACCGAGAGACGCGCGGTCCCCGGGGAAGCGAGACCGCCGCAGTTGTATGAGCGCAGTACCGGGCGGGTGTCG